AAATCGTTTTTTAACAATAAATCGGTTTGGAATCTCGTTTAGCGTTTGGATTTCTGGTACAAAACCAATGATACATTTGCATATACATATATATGCATACAATGTATATATATATATATATATATATATATATATATATATATATATATATATATATATATTCATACACATACACACATATCTATATATATGTATGTATGTGTGTGTATACACAATCACACATGTATACGTATATATGAATATGAATATACATACAAACATACATAAACATACACATCCATATATATATATTTACATGTCTGTGTGTGTAAATACATTTAGAAAAAGAAAGCGAGAATATTCTATATTTATATACACTAATGTTTACTTGCCAAAAAGCCTCATGTACAAAGTCATTTCTAATGAAATAAAATAATAACATTATCCTTCCATAAACTTTATTGCCAAAGAGAGTCTATTGCAACCGACACTGCAACAAAACTAGTGTTCCAGACCGTGCAATGAAATGCAGATCTTCCCTGGATTGCAAGCGTCCTCGCAACACTTCTCGTCCCGGGGACAGTCGCTGTCGACGTAGCAAAACTGCGAGAGAGAGAGGCGGTGTCGGGTTTAAGAGACTGCTTCCATATATATATATATATATATATATATATATATATATATATATATACATATATATATATATATATATATATATATATATATATATATATATATTTATATATACACACATTTGCATACATACATATAGATAAATACATATATACATATACATAAATAAATACACGTACATACATATATATTAATATATGTATATATATGTATATATAGAGAGATAGATATATGAATAGACATGAGTGCATATGTATATGCATATATATATGTGTGTGTGTGTCTGTTTGTGCGTGTGTGATTATGTATATACAAATTTATATGTGTCAATTTGCTATCTATGCATCTATCTTTCTACGTACGTATGTATGCATATATAAGTATGCATATCTAACTTTCTTACTATTTACTTATCTGTCACTCTTTTTATCTAAGTATCTATTTATCTATCTATATATCAGCCTCCTATTCTATCCCTGTATATAGAACCAAACTTCCAAACGATCAGCGAATGTTACTCACAGGAACGTTGCCGTCAAAGATGTCGGTGCACCTTGGAGGCGACGGGCAAGTCCCAGGCTTCGGGTCTTGTTAACGAAAGGAATGATAAAAAGTGGATGGAAAGAAGTGCAAAATGTGATAGAATGATCCACTGTAATCAGGAAATACGAGGGAAAAATTACAGCAAGCTATAACAGAAATCTAGTATATGAGATAACAAATAATAATTAACATGGAATAATGATTTCTTAATTGCGATGGAATTCCACTCACCACAGCATGCGTACTGGTCTCCGTAGGGGCCAGGGCAATAGTTCTTGCAGCTGAGTCTCTCTGAAGCGCACAGAGCGAGGCACACAGCCACAAATACAACAAGACGAAGGTGCAACTAAAATGATAATAATAATATAATAAATCATAATTGTCCACAAACATAAAAATATTGTAATCACTTCCCTATTTGATAATAAGATGCAAATCTACAATCTTTTGAAATATCAGCTCGACATTCTTTGAGAAATAAGTAAAAAACGTAAAGTGTGAGCGTGACCAACCATCGCGACGGGAGAGGGTGAGTGGTTTCTCCAAGCAGGACCGAGGAAGGTGTTGCTACCGAAGGGAAGATCCGCCTTTTTATAGGCGGCCCGAGAGAGATGCAGTGCGCATTTAGCAAGGTCATGATGTTGGAAAGCAGAAATTATTATTATTAATAATAAACAGTGTGTACATTACTAAAACACATATACACACATGAATATATATGCAGTGGGCCGACTGCTCAAGAGCTGCAGATGTTGGGTTATCTGCCTCTTTTTTTTTTCATTGATTCTTCTCTTCCTTTCTCTGTGGCTAAAAGAAAGATCTCTCTTTTGTTGGTGTAATATATCTTCTGAAATTTGCAAAAGCGTTTTCACCAATTAACCGGATTGGAATCTCGTTGATCATTTATAATTCCTTGAAATAGCTTACTGGTCGAAAACTCCTGTGATACACGACTGCGTTCGTGCATGCACACACGCACATACACACACATAATATATATATATATATATATATATATATATATATATATATATTCATATATAATATACATATACATATATGTATATTGATGCATATTTGAGTATATATATGCATATATGCGTGTGTATGTGAACAATCACACATGTATAAGTATATATACATATCTATACATATACATACAAATATACGTAAACATACACACATATGTGTGGAATTCATGTCGAACAAATTGCAATAAGAACAACACACAACACCACACACACACACACACACACACACACACACACATATATATATATATATATATATATATATATATATATATGAATGTGTATATAAACATACATATATACATATGTGTATACACACACACACATAAATATGTATATGCATGTCTATGTGTGTATATATATATACAGAAAAAGAGAGAGTATTGCATATTTGTATACAGACCGTGCAATGAAATGCAGATCTTCCCTGCATTGCAAGTGTCTTCGCAACACTTCTCGTCCCGGGGACAGTCGCTGTCGACGGAGCAAGACTGCGAGAGAGAGTCGGTGAGGACGAGCTTCTCGTTCGGCCGAACTCTTCTAACCCATGCCTACACGCACCATGTTTACCCTACTAGGTGCTGATTACTCATGCGTGTGCTACTCTCCTGACGAAGTTGCTGAAGATATATTCTCGCACGACACGCCAATCTGGCTCACCTGCCTCGTCACTATTTTGCAAACCCTCGTCAGCACAGCCATGATGTCACTTCTACCTTCCACCACCAATACTTCCTCACCACTATTAAAGTAAGTGTACCTCCTTAATACCTGATTAACTATTGCCCTCCCTATACCTGCCCACACCTCCTGTTCTCTTATTGAACACACATTACTAACACTAACAAAATTTCTTTCTGTCAGCCACTGCTTTAAAAGCACAACAAACAAAATCACACACCGAGACCAGACTTGCATAACACACTCCCGTAACTCACATCTCATACCCCTGCCCTAACCATTTTTTAATTGGTATATTGTTTTATTTGTGGTTTTTCTATATTTCATATCATTATTGTCCTCACATTGCAAAATTTGGTATGTTTTATCTTTTTCCTCAGAGTAAGTAAATAGACGTCAATTTATTCAATTATTGTGTTCGTTTGTCTCCGCGTATATCATTAATGTTTATTTCTACGAATTTGTTATTCTTTCTCTTTTCTTTTATATGGAATATTCATTCATGATTACTTAAATTTAAACCAGCTCATGGCCGTAAAATACGTATATATATGTGTTTATATATATATGTACATATATCTACCTGTATACCTGTATGTTATACGTGGTGTGTGTATATATGTGTGTACGTATGTATATGTATATATTTATGTATATATATATATATATATATATATATATATATATATGTGTGTGTGTGTGTGTGTGTGTGTGTAAGTAAATATATAAAGATAGATATGTATACACACACACACACACACACACACACACATCGTTATCCTTCATGTATTAGTAGTAAGTAATCTTTATGGATGATAGTAAGCTCTTAGTTGCTCACTACTTTTAGTTGGTCGTAGTTCGAGTGGTCTGGGCGGCCGTCTTGCATTCACGTGCATTGGCGGCGAGGGATCGAATCCCGATCGGAGAGATTAAAATATTCATGATGTAATGCATTATTCATCTTTCGGTATATATATATATATTATATATATATATATATATATATATATATATATATATATATATATATATATATATATATATATATATGTGTGTGCATATATGTGGCTGTAGGTATACAACTTCATCACTTCTACGTAGCCTGAATTATCTTTACAACTTACTTTTTGATTGACTTTATCCTATAATACCTCTACCTTATTCCCATAGTAAATTGATTTAGATATTTCGTTATTGTTTTATTACATCGAGAGAATAAAAGAAAGGCAAAACAAACAACAGAAATGAAGAAGGAAAAAAGACACCAACACAAATGCTAAGTAAAATAAATATAAAAGGGATTAGTTCGAGGAAACAAATAGAAAACGGGAAGAAAGATAAATAAGAAGAGAAAAGAAAGATAAAATAAGAATGGAGGCAGATTAGAAACGTAAGAGACCGATACCAAAAAATAGAAGGATAAAAACAAAATAGATAAGGATATAGTCACGGCAAGGCTAAACTCAGATCTAATTATCAAAATATTTACAAAAGGCAAATAAGCAGCAAGACAAATCGAAAACCAAAGAAGAAATTAGAAACAGAAAACAAACGAAAAATATATATACGTACATAGATGTATAGGCAGACAAGGACTTATCATATATTTTTTTAAAAAGCGAAATAGGAGAATATCATTTTGAAAGCGTATCCTCGCGCTGATTCAAGCTCGCCTGCAAGCAACGTGACCTTCAGAAAGAATAATGCAAGACCACCTCACTTCACGGGGTTGAAGAGGCCGAATTTATCTCGTTTCATTTCCTGCGTGAATGTATGTGTGTGTATACACTTAAATACACACACATACAATATACTGTGTATATATCTGTTTATATATACATAATATATAAATATATGTGTGTGTATACATATACATATAGATAGATTGATAAATAGATTGATAAACAAATGGAAAAGTAAATATATAGATATGTGCGTGTGCGTGTGTGTCTGTGTCTTATATGCATGTTTATGTAGTTCAGTATGTATGCAGGTATGAAGTTATGCTGTCAACATGCCTGCGGTCAGCAACAGCACTGACGGCTCACCTTCATGCTGTTGCCACTGGCTATGCTGGCAACTGCACGCACTTTGGAGGCCTATAAAAAGCCCGTTTCCTGCCCGCATCAACAGTTCGTCCTGCAGCCTCCTGTAGACACGACACATTCTGATTCTACGCGATGGTTGGCTGCTCTCCAAGATGACTTTATCTTTATTCATTATCTATTTTCTATTTCGTCGATCTATTTATTTATTTATTTTTAATGAATTCTCTTAAGCTTTATTATGGTTAACCTGGATAACTTCAGTCTTTAGAAAATGTTAATTTTCCTTCGAAATATGCACTGAGAGCGATTTCCCGTTTGGCATTTGTCTGTTTGTCTTCTCTTTGCATCTGGTATAATTTATAAGTGATCCGAACAGGAACTTGTGATCCTAACATGAACTTGCATTGCAGTTGCGCCTTCGCTTCGTTGTCCTTCTCGCTGCCTGCGTCGTGGCAGCCATGGCGAGCCACAAGTGCTCTCGTTACTGCCAGACTCCGGGGAAGACTCACGTGTGCTGTGGTGAGTGACCTGTGACCTTTGACCTTTGTGTTGCATAGGTAGGTAAAGAGGTAGATTTATATAAGAAAGACACGCAAGTTAAGTTTACTTTAAGGAGTGAGACTATAGGGTTGATTCTTTATATTCTGAGAGATACAAATCAAGATACATAGATAAGCGATTAAGAGGTACTTGCAAATACAGAGGTACATCCCATTGAAATAACTTAAATTCATCTGTAAAGTGTTTGCATGTCACACACTCATTCCCTCCAATTCATTTCCAATCCAATTATTCTCCAACAGATCCCCCGCCTCCCCCCGCTGCCCCAACCCCGCTCCGTGCTACGACTTCTTCGAGTTCATCGTAAGTGAACACAAGCGCACAGACAGGGACGTGTACACAAAGTTGAAAAGGAAAACAGCCACAGTAAGAAATGGAAATAAGTCGATTTTTAATTTTTATTGTGGCTGTTTTTCTTCCCCGTAAGTATTTCCGAGTCCCTTTCGCTCCTCCTCCACCTTGGTGAGAGATTTCGGACTCTCCAGCTGCCGGAGTTGGATGAATGTAAAAAAAAAGAATTGTTTCTTTGTTTTTGTTGGTTTGGTTTAGTTTCTACTTTGATTTTGGGTTTCATCATTATTTTTCTTTCATATGAATAATTTCTTCCTTTACGGGTGTCGAGCTCAAAATTCAAGAATTATTACCTTGCAAATTTATCATAATGGAAAATAATGATTATGACTGGACATTCATAAAGAACCATTATTTCATAATAGCAACATAGATATAAATATTTAATCTAGTATGTTTATATGGCAAATTTATGGTAATTGATGATTTTTGCATGCAATTAGTTTCATAGGAAGATAGGAATGGGGTTGAATCATTTTCAACTGTTGACAAACTGGTATCTTCATGAATACGTCATTCTGAAGAAAGCAAATTTCCTCGACAAACTGGTATCTTCAT